AATAAAGAGTGTCATTATGTGTGTGCTGTGCCAGTTCTCTTTCAGCACAGAAGTGGCTGCGTGCTAGTCTCACCTTTTCCCTCAGGGACGCCGACTGACCTCCCAACTGGATCTAAAAGCTACCTCCTTCTTCGCAGCTCTGTTTTACACAGCTTCCTGTCTACTGGTGGACAATGTGATGCCTTCCACCCTTGCTGCCACAGCAGCGACTAGTACCCTTGTCCGCCAGTCATCTGGTGTGTAGACACCTGGGGCTGGAGAGAAATGCTGATAAGTCAAATCTTTGGGCCCGGGTGCTGTCTGACCCTGAGCCGGCCCGGGTGTGCATGTGCACACACTCGGAGGTGGAGGCAAGCCTGGAGCCCAGAGCCTGAAGCATCACGGGTAACAGCCAGACCTCCTCTCTAGACATACTTTGATAATTACAGTTCCTATTCTCTCCTTTCCAAGTCATCCCAATTCCACCCCCACCACTACCCCCCACCGCCACCCCACACCCCCGCTGCACCAGGACTTCCTTGGCTCCCTTCTTCCTCCACTTTTGTCAAAGCAGCCTGGTTGATGGGTGCAAAACACAGTTTCTCACTATGGTTTCCACATGTGTTTCACTCCCTTGACTGCAGTAATCAGCTCTTCACTCAGAGAGAGGAGGATCACGTGATTTTCCTTGCCTGCACGTGCCCTGACCTTGGCCCAACTTCCCATGATGTCACTGGCTTTATTGGTTCATGGGAGCTCACTGGGAAAGGAGCCCTTTGTGACATGGGTTGCAAACATGTCTCCCTCTGGCTTGCTCTGCAGGCCATCCTGTTTTGCCAAGACGACATAGCATATAATTATATAACTGCATTTCTTAATCTTATCTTTTATGATGTCTGGGACTGTGAGCTGCTAAACAAGCCTCCTCCACACCAAGATTATAAATAAAATTGCTCGTGTTTTTCTTCCTCTTTGTGGCCTTATTTTTTACACTTCAATCTTGGAAGCATCTGGAATTTGTTGTCACACAGCAGTGAGATCCAACCACGTTTTCTTCCAGCCGGAGACCCAGCGGTCCCAAAACCATAATCCCCATCCCTATTCCCAGAGGCTGCTGATAGTTCAGTGCCTGCTTTAAAACCTGGGTTCCACCTACAGTGAGTGAGCTTGCCTGTGCTGTGGTATTCCTGACTATGCCTGTTTTCCTACCCATCTTCCTTAGCATTCTGCTTTGCCTAGAGGAATACGGTCATCTCAGTCCTCCATCCCCACAGGGACTGGGTCTGAGAATCTAGGAGAAAAGCAAGTTCCTCAGACACTGGGTCCCATCTGTACAGCGGTGTAGAGTTTGCATAGAACCTACACAGACCCATCTGTAGCCATCTCCACATGCCCTGTAATGTGGCCTGCCACAGTCGTGCTCTGTGCGCTGCTGTAGACCGTGTTGCCTAGGGAGTACTGATGAGAAGACCTGCAGTTTCAGCACGCTGTGAGCTTTCCCAGACAGTCTTGATCTACAATTGGTTGGCTCTGCGGATGCAGAATCTGCAGCTCTGAGGAAGGTTGGGTGTGCCACCTCTGCGGCGGGTGCCACTCCTATACCCGAGCTGGTGGCATTTGGGGGCGTACTTCCACTCAGCCACCGGGGCTCTCAGAAGCTCCTTCCACAGCACTCTCACAGCTGAGCCTCTGCACTTCCTGAATTGTACTTAACTCAGGAGGTGAATGGCAATAGGAGGGAGTGCACAGAGAGGTGGGAGACAGGGCTAGCTCAACAGTCAGCATCTGCACCAATGGCCCAGCATCTAATCACTGCAAGCTGCTGTTTGCTCACAGGGCAAATGTGTGTGTGTGTGTGTGTGTGTGTGTGTGTGTGTGTGTGTGTGTGTGAAGAGACAGGGACAGAGAGATACACAGAGACAGAGAGGGAGACAGGGACAGAGAGACACAGAGAGAGAGAGACAGAGAGAGAGACAGGGACAGAGAGACACACAGAGAGAGACAGAGAGGGAGACAGAAGGGGAGAGAGAGAGAGAGAGAGAGACAGGGACAGAGAGACACAGAGAGGGAGAGACAGAGAGGGAGACGGAAGGGGAGAGACAGAGAGACAGGGACAGAGAGACACACAGAGACAGACAGAGAGGGAGACGGAAGGGGAGAGACAGAGAGACACAGACACACACAGACAGCAGGAGGACTTGCCACTGCAATCCTGTAGAAACACCCGAAGCTATCTGATCTGGCTGGCAGCAGAGGGGAACACCTCCACCAGATCCAGTCACCCCAAGAAAGGGGCTCACCGACCGCTTCCCTTTCTGCCCCTTCCCTTCTTTCAGATGCGGCCATGGAGGGCACCAGTGCCAGGCTGCAGCAGGAGCAGCCTAACCCAGCTTGTCTTCCAGCTTTGTGCTCTCTCGCATCCATGTCACCTGTCCATCTCAAAGGCAACAGGACTCAACAGGCACAGGCTTAATTCCATGCTTCCTCTTCAGAAACTTATTAGGGACGGCGCTCTACAGCCTTGTCCAGGACCAGAGGACTTGGGACTGCTGTGGGTTAAGGCCTGGAGGGCCCTTGAGGCCAGCCTCAACTCTAATACTGCTTCCCTGAAGAGCTAGGATTTATGACAGAGGGTCTCCCGTGTGGGCCCACTTCCACATGGGCAGAGCTGTGAGAAGGGACAGACTGCAGGTGGACTTGGCCTGAGGTTCAAGCGGAGCCAAGGGGAGGTCTAAGCTTCAGCTTCCTTTGGCAGCTGAAGGGGTTGGGGGGCTGGGGGAGAAGCACAGCTCAAGGGAGCTGACTAAATTGGCCCCAGCAGTTCATGCCCTTGGTGCTCCCTCCCTCCTGCTCAACCAGCCACTCACCAGCCTTCTCTTTTCATTAGTATCTGTCCTGGTCCTGTTTCTTTCCACTGTCTCCGAGGAGGCCCTGGCTGTCTGCTGGGAGCTCTGCACAATGCCCGTCTGGTACCTTGTGTACCCTCATCCCTCACTGACCTGCTACAGTTTGTGTCTTAAGTACCCCCCAGCAGAGGCTTGCTCCTCGGGGTGCTATACTGGAAGATTGTGGAGCCTTTGAAGATTGGGTCCAGTTGGAGGCCTTTCTGTAACTCAAGTGTGTTCTTGAAAGAGACGGGGGCTCTAATTCCTTCCCTTCTCTCTCTTTTGCTTCCAAGGAAGGAGGTTCTGCTCTGCCACCTCTCCCTGAAGCACTGCCCTCTGGTGTCCCACCAGAAGCCTAAAGGCATCAGGTCTGCCTGACCATGGACTGAAACTAAAACTGAGCCAACCATTTTTTTTCTTTTCAAGTTCATCATCTCAACTTTTTTGCTTGTTTTTGTTTTGTTTTGTTTTCTCTGTTCAAAAGAGCCCTGACAGCCCTGGACTTGCTCTGTAGCCCAGGCTGGCCTCAACTTCACAAAGACCTACCTGCCTCTGCCTCCCAAGTGCTTCAATTTAAGGCCTGCGCCACCACGCCTGTCAGCTATTTGTTTTAATTATTTACTTACTTACTTTGTGTATGAGGTGGTAACCTTGATATGGAGGTCCGGGGACACTTGCTGGGGTCTAGTCTCTGTGTGGATTCCTGGTATCAAACTCAGGGCCTTAGGCTGCCAGCAAGCACCTTTATCAGCTAAGCCAACCTGTTGGCCCAGGTAATTGTCACAATAATGGCGAACTGACTAATAGCATCCTCTCTGGAATACAAGAGCAGACTGTCGTATGGTTTGGGTAATCAAGAAACATGTGTGTGATTCCAGCACCCAGGGACATCTCTGTGAATCTGAGACCAGCCTGGTCTACACAGAGTCCCAGGACAGCTACATAAAGAGACCCTGTCTACAAACAAAACAAAACACACAAGGTGAATAAAGTGTAATTAATAAAAAAATTTAAAAACAAAACTACGCCACTGGGATGGGTGCAGCTCAGTGGCGGACAGGCCCTGAGTTCCGGATCTAGCATGGCAGGGCGAGCGAACATAAGCCCTGCCGGTGGCTCTCTGTAGGCACCGGGTTCTTCTCTGCCCTGGCCACAACTGTCCGTCCCCGGAGGCCACCCCCATCCTCAAAGCTCTTGTCTGAGGTGCGTATCTTTCTTATCTGTGGGCAGTGTGAGGGCTCCCTCCTCAGTGCTGCTTTTGCCTTCTGCCCTGCGCTCAAGGAACAGGGGCCAGGTCACGGGGCCACACTTTAGCTCCGTGTCCGCACACTTCCCCTGTTAGACACAACCCCTGGATCAGGTCATCCTCAGACTCCTGCCATCCTGCACGTGTTCTGAATGTCGATTTCACCCTCAAAACGACGTTCTCTCCTTCCCTCCACTTCAAGCTACCACACACTGGCAGCTTTGCTCGGCACCTCATGTTCTATCCCCAGATGAGTTTCCCCAGACATTCTCTCAGAAGAGCCTCCTAGCTCTCAGTGCTCAGCACCTCCAGATCACACTCCCACAGGCCTCCTGTGCAAAACCCCATAAGAATTAATGAAGGGTCATTTGGCTTGGTTCCTCGTGGTGCAGGTGCTCAAATGGTATTTATTGCATAACAAACACAAAAGAGTTGGCAGGAGGAAACAGCGTTTCTACCTTTGTAGAGACCATCTTTCCCAGCCTAGTTATCCCATCTGCCTCTCCTGGTTCCTCCCTGAGCACACAGACCAGAGGACACCAACCCTACCTCGCCAGCCTCCCATGGTTCATCCCAAAAGTTCCACCGTGCCCCACCCATCAGATCCGCCCCGCCCTCCTGCTCCTCAGACCCCGCCCATCAGGCTCCACCCCACCTGACTTGCACCCCCCGACGCCCTTGCCACGCCCCTCCGGCTGCAGCGGGTTCCGCCCCATGGCCCCGCTAGTCCGGCCGAGGCCCCTCAGGACCCCGTTCTCCAAGGCCGGCCAGGCTCCACCCGCCCCCGCCCCATCCCGCTGGCTCCGCCCGCCCCAAGCCCCGCCCCTCCGGCTCCACCCTGCCCCACCCACCTGCCCGCAGGCCCCGCCCCGCCCCGCGGGACCGCTCACCTGTACGCCCAGGGCGACACGCTGCGCAGGTTGGTGGGCGGCCGGAAGCGGCGGTCGGCGGGCCTGCCCCCGGCCGGGCAGCTGGCGTTGCGCGCCTGCTCGCGGGGCCCGAGCTGCAGCGTGTGGTGGAAGGCGCTGAGCACGCCCGCCGCCAGCCGGCCGTACAGCTGCTCCAGGAGCTCCTCCGGCCGGTCCGCGCAGTCCCGCGGCCGCGCCGGGCGCCGCCCGGGCTTCAGCGCGCCCGCCGCGCGGCCCGGCGCCAGGGCCAGCAGGCAGCCGACGGCGAGCATCCAGACCTGCGGGCCAGGCCGCGCTCAGCGTCGCGGGACCCCGCGCACCGTGAGGCCCTCCC